GCACTCCAGTCTGGGTGACAGAGTGAGACTCCAACTCAAAAAAAAAAACAAAAAAACAAACAAAAAAAAACAAAAAAATAGCCAGGCATAGTAGTATGTGACTGTGGTTCCAGTTACTTGGAAGGCTGAGGTGGAAGGATCACCTGAGCCCAGTGGGTTGAGGCTGGAGTGCATTGGCATGCTGACAGCACTGCAGTCAGCATGCCACTGCACTCCAGCCTGAGTGACAGAGTGAGAATCCTACTCAAAACAACAACAACAACAAAAACTAAAACGACAGTCATTTACTGAGCACCTGTTAGGTACCAGGCTCTGATCCAGTTGCTGGAGACAGTGAGGAAACTAAAAGAGATCAAGTTCATGCCCCCACAGAGCTTACATTCTAGGAAAACAGGTTAATGATATCTATAATAAACAAATGTCTAATATTATGTCATGTGCTGGGATGATAACTACGGCTGACTACGGGGAGAGAGAACAGCAAAGGTCCTATTTTAAATGGGGTGGGAGAGGGGCCTGGGATAGGACTTAAGGAGCTAAGCAGGGCTGAGGACAGTCAGGAGGGAGCCCTGTGATCATGTGTGGGAAGAACATTCTGGAAGGACAGGAATGCATGGCTCCATGCTGGGTAAGTCTGAGGAATGACAAGGAGCCCAGTGTGATTGGAGCCACAGAGATCAGAGGTTTGATCAAATTAATAATATATACCAAGTTGGATATCTGGGTTATAAATTCTTCTATGAAGCTAAATCAATGTGGGATGGGTCCTTCTGCACAAGGAAATTAACAGTCTACAGAAAAATAACAAACTCAATCAAATGTAAGAAACTGAACACAATTATTTTCCTTCGGAGAAAAATTACCAGACTGAAAACCATTCTATAGAGAGCTGGCATTATCTATAGAATGAACAGGACTTCACTGAAACATAGCACTGACACTAACAGTTTTACTTCCGCAATCTTTCTTTTGTAACTGAAATCATGACATCCCCAAATCCTATTCTGACCCATGGGAAATTCTCTCACATGAAATTATTTTGCTTGTGACATACAGGAAATTGCTGGAAGTAAGGAAATAAGCTGACAAGAAAGACCAAGGCTCTGACAAGGACAAAGGCTGACCTTTAGTCCTGACCAAATGCGTCAAGATCATTAACATGGTCCAAGATCACTCACATTGTACTGATGAAGGCTGTACCTCAGTTTTGTCAATGCTGCCTGACGATCTGCAGCCCACACGACCAGTTTCGCAATCATGGGGTCATAATGTACTGAAACTTCATCTCCTGAAATTGAAAAAACTACAGTAACCCCTCAAAGTTAAAACTTCGGGGAATAAAATAGGACAAGCAAGACATTTTGTTATGTACATTTCACACTTAATTTTCACAAACCCCTGCATGATAAATATCAAAGCTCAGTGCAGTACCTCACACCTGTCATCCCAACACTTTGGGAGGCTAAAGTGGAAAGACTGCTTGAGCCCAGGAGTTGGAGACTAGCCTGGGGTAACATAGCAAGATCTTGTCTCTACAAAAAATAAAAAAGATTAGCCAGACATGGTGGTGCATGCCTGTAGTCCTAGCTACTCAAGAGGCTGAGGCAGGAGGATCATCTGAGCTCAGGAGCTCAAGGCTGTGGTAAGCCGTGATAGTGCCACCGCACCCCAGCCTGAGTGACAGAGTAAGACACTAACTAAAAACAAAAACAAAAACCAGAGATATTATTACCAGAATTTATTCATGAGGAAATTGAGGTTCAGAAGGGTTTAAAAGCTTGTCCAGGCTCATGCCTGTAATCCCAGCACTTTGGGAGGTGGAGGTGAGAGGATTGCCTGAACCCAGGGGTTCGAGACCAGCCTGGGGAACTTGGTAAAACCGCATTTCTACAATAAATAAAAAAAATTAGTGGCATGGTGGTGTGCACCCATGGTTCCAGTTACTTGGAAGGCTGAGGCGGAAGGATCACTCAAGCTCAGCAGGTCGAGGCTGCAGTGGCTGTGAGTGTGCCATTGCACTCTAGCCTGGGTGGCACTGAGACTCCAACTCAAAAAAAAACTTGTTCAAAGTTTAACAATGATGTGACCATCCAAGAGCACCAGGCCCTAACATGGTGATCCAGTGGCATACAGGCTGGCTGTCTCCATCCTATCTTCTTCCAAACCTTCTTTTCCTTTCTCATTTTGGAAGCCAACACAAACTCCCTCCATTACCTCACATTACACACTCTCCATTGGCATTCATCTCCCTCTACTCCATCAGTTTCCTCATCAGTAAAATAAGCATAATCATTTCATTGTCCTGGAGGGCTGCTGGGAGGAATGACAATAAAGTGCCAAGTGCTGTGCCTGGCAGACTGATGAACTATGATGGCTACGGTCCTAGAGAACATGAATTTGAACCATGGTACATCCCACTGGTTAGAAAGGTTCAAACTGAAAGGATGTGGTGTGCTGTAAGAACATTGCTACAGGACCCTTTCAGGATTTCAGCAGGCCCCTTGGCCTCTCTGAATCCAGAATCCTCATTCATAAGATAAGAGACGCTTGTAGTCTGTGGGGAAGCTGAGCTACAATGCTCTGCTGACAAGTCAAAACATTTACCAACTACTAAATCTTGCTGTGGTTTAGCCAGAGCTCTCAAAATGCTGCCAATTTATTATCCAGAAGGCCCAACTCTTCATTTTGCTTTCAAGATGCTACATGATTTACTCTCCACCTGTATCTCCAGCCACACATTGTCCTCCTGTTCTTTGAACACATCTTTAGCTTTCTCTTTTCTTTACTCTTCGCTAAGCTGCTCAATCAGCCTACTGAAGCCCACTCAACTTTCTCTGAAAATTTCTTGTCCTAATTATATTGGTACACCATAATCTCTTAGTGAGATTAGCTATATCCCATCACTGTATAATGTACTCCAGCAACTGAAATTAAGATGGCAATGGACGGTGAGGGCTCAGAGCACTGACTGCTGGGACTGCATCTTGGCTCCAAGGATGACCTTGGGCGAGTTCCTGAACTACTCTGTGCTCTAGTTTCCGCTTATAGAAAATGAGGATGATAGGGTTGTTCTCCTAGCTGAAGAAGTCTATATAGAAAAACTGCCTAGAATGGTGCCTGAAAATAGGAATCAGCAAGAAATTGTTAGCTAGAAGCATGTTATTAATCATATGCTGAACTGGGAGAGCTCTTATGTTGTTATTATTTACTGTAATTTAGTTCTTTTATTATTGCTTAGCTTGTACTGAGTTTACAGGTTTCTTTTTTTCAATGTCAAAGGGAAAGCATTTGTTCAAGACAGTGGGTTAACTGAACCAAATACTTGCAGGATCATTTCCATAAAGAGGTCCTTATAGTCCAAATGAAATTCCCTTGTCCACACAGTCATGGGAAATACAGTTACAAGGCAACTACCAAGAATGAACTTTGAATGAAATAAATTTACATTTTAATTCTCCAACTTGACTTTATCGCCCTTTAAGGCAGAGTGCCTTAAACATAGAAGACATCAGTCACCTTAAATCACTTTTGGAATGAGGCAAAGTAAAAACAAAATCCTGTACACACAAAATACTTCTTGGTTAGGTTTGACCACATACTGCTGCATTTCAAAACAAGAGTGCATTGTTTAAAATATTAGCTATTCTCTAAAGATAACTATTCCAGAAGGAAATAGTAAAGACTAATGAGAAATCAACTAAATCCTTTATTTTAAAATACAGTAGACATAAGATTCAGGGATAAGTCTCTGTCCAAAAACAATAATGTAGGCCGGGTGTGGTGGCTCAATCCTGAAATCCCAGCACTTTGGAAGGCCGAGGTGAGAGGATTGCATGAGCTCAGGGATTTGAGACCAGTCTGGGCAGTATGGTGAGAACTCATCTCTATAATAAATAAATAAATAAATAAATAAATAAATAAATAAAAAGCTGGGCATGGTAGCGTGCACCTGTACTATACTTCCAGCTACTTGGAAGGCTGAGGCGAAAAGATCACTTGAGCCCACCAGATTGAGGCTGTGGTGGCCATGAGTGTGCCACTGTACTCCAGCCTAGGCAACAGAGTGAGACTCCAACTCAAAAAAAAAAATAGTACCAAAACCAAGAATGCACGAAAAACTTGAAAACAGTGAGACTTTTGGGTTTCTTTCACTTTACCTTGCCGTACTCCAGTTTCAATCCTAGTACAAAGGTCTGCTGGTGGGGTGGAGAGGTGCACTAATGGTCCAGCCCCCGGCATAAAGTTATTGTTAGGATCTTCTGCATATATTCTCGCTTCAAAGGCATGGCCCTGCAGAGTTATTTCTTCCTGGCTCAAAGGAATCTTCTCTCCTGCTGCAACCTGGTAAAAGAAGAATAGTACTTCTTAGGAAAATTTACCTTACAGCTACAAGACTTAGTGAGTCAATGGTCTTGCTTTTTTCTATCCAAAATGTACACTAATGTTTTGCAATGCAGCCAAATAAAAACTATTATTTTATCTAACCACTTGAGGTTTGAGAAAAACAAAAACATTAAAAACAGATGCAGCTTGGGAATAATCTGTTAATTACTCAAGTTTCTAAAGTCCTTTCAAAATGGCAAAAGCAGGCAAATTGATGGCAAATTGATAAATATAAAAATCAGTGTTTGGGCTGGGTGTGGTGGCTCACATCTGTAATCCTAGCATTTTGGGAGGCTGAGGTGAGAGGATTGCTTGTGGCCAGCCTGGGCAACATAGTGAGACCCTGTTTCTATTTTTAAAAACCCCCTGTAATCCCACGCCTTTGGGAGGCTGAGGTGAGTGGATTGCCTGAGCCTGCGGGTTCAAGACCCGCCCGGGCAACTTGGTGAGACCTCATCTCTACAATAAATCAAAAAATTAGCAGGGGTGGGGAGGTGGGGTAGCGTGTGCCTGTAGTTCCAGCTACTTGGAAGGCTGAGGCGGAAGGATTGCCAGAGCTCAGCGGGTCAAGGCTGCGGTGGCCATGAGCGGCCACTGCACTCCAGTCTGAGCAACAGAGTGAGACTCCAACTCACAAAAAAAAAAAACACACAAAAAAACCCCAAATCCGAAGAAACAAAACAAAACAAACATAAAAACAAACCAGTGTTTGTTCAGTATAACCAAAACCAAAATTTCTTATTGGCAGATATTCTCAGTTTTCATTTAAAACATTAGGACACAGTTCCCAAATCAATCTTTTTTTAAATAGTAAATTATTAGTTGGTATTTAAGACTACTTGCACAACCATGAAAAAAAGTATGGCTTGCATTAATCCTTCTACACTACAATATTAATCAGCAAGTGAATGATAAGGCAAAACAGAAGGGGGACATGACGGTTTTTTTATTTTGTTATGTTTATATATATTGCAAGATACCAGATTATAAACCACTATTATTTATCACTACATTATTGTTTATTGCTACTACTATTATTACTGTTCTGGCTATTATGTACCAATACAATTCACTCTCTTCCCCTCAGTATAACTTGGGAAAGGTTATTGGAGGACACCGTCACTTTCTCTCTTTCTCTCCTTTTCAATTTTTTCTAGAAGATGAGAAAATGACAACCTGACAAAGCAATATAGATACAGAAAAAAAAAACTCCAAATAACTCAGCATGACACTGAACTAAACAGGTAAACATAAGACAGAGGCAACGGTTTCATCTCTTTGAATCTGTAAATAAGAAAGATCGGGACCACAGTAATTAAGAATAAAAGGAAAATAAATGAAATGCCATTATGGCAGGACATTTCAAGCCACAGGCTCTGCAGTCATATTGCCTAGGTTCAAATCGTATCTCTATATTTACTCTACCACCTGGGCAAATTTCTTAAGTTCTCCATGTTTCTGAAGAAAGCACATGACATATAGCAAGCACTATGAAAGTGTTGGCTGTTATAGCTGGGCTTGGTGGCTCAGCCTGTAATCCCGCGCCTTTGGGAGGCTGAGGTGAGTGGATTGCCTGAGCCCATGGGTTTGAGACCCGCCTCTACAATAAATTAAAAAATCAGCTGGGCGTGGTAGCGCATGCCTGTAATTCCGGCTACTCGGAAGGCTGAGGCAGAAGGATCGCCGGAGCCCAGCAGGCCGAGGCTGCGGTGGCCAGGAGCAGCCACTGCACTCCAGTATGGGCGACAGAGTGAGACTCCAACTCAAAAAAAAAGAAAGTGTTAGCTGTTATAATTTCATTCTTAGCCTTTATAGTAAGACACTCTTTAATGTGTAATAAAGAATTAGGCCAAGCTGGGCATGGTGGTTCGAGCCTGTAATCCCAACACTTTGGGAGGCTGAGGTGGGTGGACTGCCTGAACCCATGGGTTTGAGAGCAGCCTGGGCAACTTAGCGAGACTTCATCTCTACAATAAAATAAAAAAATTAGCCGGGCATGGTGGCGCATGCCTGTAGTTCCAGTTACTTGGAAGGCTGAGGCTGAAGGCTCATCTGAGCCCAGCAGGTCAAGGCCTGGGCAACAGAGTTAGACTCCAACTCAAAAAGAAAAAGAAAAAGAAAAAGAATTATATCTGTTTTAATATAAAAAAGGAAAAGAACGATCCTATATCCACATTCCAAGGCATGATCTTATTTCTAACTATATCGGTCCATTTCAACCTAGTCTTTGCCTGTCTATTTTCCTCTGAGATTGGCTTCCATCTGAGCCCAGAAGACAGCAGCCCCAACCATGCTTCTGGGAACTTGGGAATCTGTGCCATTTCAGTTGTCTCAGGCTTGAACACTGGCTCTTTTGAACTTCTAACCTTGGACATTTCACCAGCATCCTCTCAACACTGATAACTGTCTGCATCTGCCACCTCAATCCCGGATACTCATATCATTGAACCCTTGTTCTAGGAATCCTTCAACTCCAGGGGCAGATCCTGGAGCCTGAACTCTGACTCACCAAATGGTGAATCCCCTTGTTTTATCTCTCTGGAAGTCAGACTCCAAAGTGCCTTGAACTCAATAAGCCAGGTCCAGGAGTTTTCCTAAGTTCTGGAATCCCTCCCCAGATGATAAAAGCCTGCTTCTCTTTCTGAAGAGCCTTGACAAGCTCTTACTATTTCTTGAGTCACAGAAATAAATGCCTGTTAGCTTCCCTAATGTCCAAAGGCTTTTTCTTTCCTTAATCCTTATAAACCTTTTGTCCTATATGATTTTGAAAGTCTAGACTCTCTTGGTTTACAGCTTCAGAAAAAAATTCTTCTTTTCCTTGAATTCTGGAAGTTTCTAAATTCACTATCATTTTTCCTGACACTGAACAACATTTACTAGCCTGAGGTACCTGGTTTTCATTAGCTCCCAAGGCTATATAGGCCCAGAAGAACCTTTTGGCTAAATTAAAGCCACCAATCATACCCAAGGCACCAACACAAGGAGTATCATATTACTATCCATGGAAACTCTGAAAAGATAAAATTATCAAAAGAATCAAGATTTCAGCATCACATCATGGAAAAACTATTTAGAGTTAGGATATATAAAGAACCAAGAATCCTACAGGAATCAGGACTATTTATATTATTTAAAAATTGTTTTTCTTTTCTTTTTTTTTTTGAGTTGGAGTCTCACTCTGTTGCCCAGACTGGAGTGCAGTGGCCGCTCCCGGCCACCGCAGCCTTGACCTGCTGGGCTCCGGCAATCCTTCCGCCTCAGCCTTCCTATTAGCCGGAATTACAGGCATACGCTACCACGCCCGGCTGATGTTTTGATTTATTGCAGAGATGAGGTCTCGCGGCCCAGGTGGGTCTCGAACCCGCGGGCTCAGGTAATCCACTCACCTCAGCCTCCCAAAGGCGTGAGATTACAGGCTGAGCCACCAAATCCGGCAAAAATTGTTTTTCATTTTAAGAACAAAAGCAGACTAAGCTAGCTATTATTATTAACATTTGAAGAAACATGTCTTGTGGAACTCTGGTTATACTAGTTCTTCTCAAACTACCCATAGTAAAAGAATAGTAGTGAACTTGTTGTTTGAAAAACACAAGTCCTGGACCAGATGGCTTTCCAGCAGAATTCTACAAAAACAAAAACAAAAAAAAGCAATGCCAACATGCTTTAAGAGTTTCTAAACATCTACCCTGAATGGACATTTACTCATGGACTGGCAACAGCCTCAAATCAGCACTCTAGGGGACCAGGCTGTTGTCTAAACCCTTTCCTTGGCTCTTCATCCCATCTCTGCCTTGGCTCAGTTAATCTTGGCTTGTATCTGTCCTGCCTCTAAATCTAATGATGGTCTGGCCTAGAATGCTGTGGCCTTAGGTAGAGCAAGAGGCTTTGGTTTTGAAACACATGGCCACAAGTACGCTCAGTGACAGCGACTCACCTGCCGGCTGCCTATGCCTAAGGGGAAGTGAAGATAAGGAAGTGTAGTCCCTAAGTGCCAAGCAAGCCACAGCATCCGTTGTGCCTTCACCTTTTACCTCTCATTTTCCCGTCCTCATCACAATCACCAAGAATTGGACACTGTCCAAAATGACATCTGTTTTAGGAGGTCAGAAGGTAAGTAACTATTCTCAAAACTGATCTTCGATAGAAAAAGATATTCTCACCCTCAGTTGCCACTCCACCAAGTCCGTTCCTGTGATCATCTCGGTCACAGGATGTTCCACTTGTAGCCTTGTATTCATCTCCATGAAGTAAAAGTTGTGCTTTGAGTCCATAATAAACTCCACAGTCCCTAAAAGATAAAACACCATGGTCACATTTCTATAGTGTATAAGCAGTAACAAATAAAAATCTTCCATAATGCGTCACATCAAGTTTTGCTGCTGCCTTCATTCAACGGAAGTTTTGCATTTCACAAAGAAAACATCTCACAATTGCAATAGCAAATGAATCTCAGTCAAAAATAGAAAGCTGCATGAAACTTAGCAATGGAAAAATATATTTGGGGATGTGAGCAAATGGTAAGCCCAAATTATGAATCAGTCTCAGCTGCTGTTAACAATGAGAACAAGGCTTGGTACTGCATCAGAGTACCAAGATCCCGGGAGCCTAACACCATGACAGCCTATCTCATTCTAACACCGGAGAGGAAAATATAACATCCCCGCTACTCCCCGATTTTGGGCTCTTGAAAGTTTCCTTTAAAAATTCTTTTGCCAGCAACCCACTGCAAGATTGTTTAGCAACTAAACCTTATATTAACGTCTTATCTGTTGGCATTCTACTAAATCCTGCAAAATTTCCCTTAGCTTTATTAAGGTTTAATTTTAGACAACAAAATGTAACTACTTTAAGTGTCAGTGTGTTGATTTTAGCAATTGAATACAATCACGTAACCACCACAATGAAAATATAGAACATTTCTATCATCCCAAAAGCTCCCTTGTTCCCAGATGCAATCAATCCCTTCCCTAAGCCCCAGGATCCAGGAAGCCACCTGTTTTCTGTCACTACAGTTTTTTCTAGGATTTCATATAAATGAAATAGTTTGCAGTCTTTTGTGTTGAAGTTTTTTTTTCATTCAGCCTAAAGTGAATATAATTTAAAACTGTTTTACTCAAACTGTAGTCACAACTTATTTAGTGGACTTTAAAATCAATTTAAGTGAAGATACTTGGTTTCTGATCTGGCATATAAAGAACTTAGAAGCTGCCACTCTGTCCTAGCATGTAAAAAGCTGAACAAGCTGAAAAATCAATTCTTCTTAAATCTGGCAGAAAAATCAGGTCACGGGGTAAACTGCTACCACCCAATTCAGAAAGACAGACAAGCAGATACAGAGATTCTGAGTAGAAGCCTGAACTATAACCAGCAAACTGCTGGCAGCTCAATGTGAACAACTCTGACATTTAAAAACTACAAGGGGTCCCAGTCACAGGAGGACTTGCACACTTTTGTGAGTTTTACCTTTACAAGGTCTTCACAGTGAGTATCAGAGAAAAACCCCCTCATGCTTCTAGCAGGGAAGGGGTAACAAGAAACCATTTGAAAACACACCAGAACATTTAGTTCTTCTTAAAAAGGTTGTCTGTAAAAGGAATTAATCTGCCAGAGCCTAAGCTATCAGAGACTAATCTGGCTGAGAGAAGAGAAGTATCCAACTCCAGCCACCTCCAGACATCCTGTCCCATCTAAGGGATGGGGAGAACAAAACAAAACAAACTGAGAAGCACTGGTAAACTTCATAGTGCAGGGGCACAGGCTCAGTCAAAGACTGAGACCTAATCATGGGGCTATAGAACACTTCCCCTGACATCTCACCACATTACAAAAGTCCTATTTAGCAAAATTCCTTTATCCAGTACATCATGTCCATTTTTCTTTCTTTCTTTCTTTCCTTTTTTTTTTTTTTTTTTGAGTTGGAGTCTCACTCTGTCACCCAGGTTGGAGGGCAGTTGCACACTCCTGGCCACAGCCTCAACCTGCTGGGCTCAAGCAACCCTTTTGCCTCAGCCTTCCAAGTAGCTAAAACTACAGGTACAAGCCACTATGTCCAGCTAATTTTTTGATTTATTGTAGAGATGAGGTCTTGGCAAGTTGTCCAAGCTGGTCTTGAACTCACGGGCTCAAGCAATCCTCTCACCTCGGTCTCCCAAAGTGCTGGGATTATAGGCATGAGCCACTGCGCTCGACCTCATGTCCACCTTTCAACAAAAAATTACAAGGTATACTAAAAGGCAAAAAACACAGTTTGAAAAGATGGAACAAGCATCAGTACCAGAGTCAGATCTGGCAGGAATGATGGAATTATTAGACCAGGAATGTTATAAACTATGATTAATAGGCTAAGGGTTTTAATGGAAAAAACAGACACCATGCAAGAACAGTTGGATAATGTAAGCAGACAGATGAAAATTCTCAGAATCAAAAGGAAATTTTTTAAAAAACACTAATAGAAATGAAGCATGCTTTGATGGACTCATTAGTAGACTGAATGTGGCAGAGGAAAGAATATCTGAACTTGAGGACATAACAATAGAAACTTCCAAAACTGAAAAACAGAAACAAATACTTAAACAGAATAGAATATCCAAGCACTACAGGACAGCTAAAAAGGTCTAACTACATATAAAGCAAATACTAAAAGGAGAGGAAAGAAAAGAACAGAACCAATATTTGAAGCAATAATGACAGAATTTCCTCAAATTGTCAGAAACCAAACCACAGATCCAGAAAGCTCAGAGAACACCAAGGAAGATAAATGTTTTATATACACATACACTGGTGTGCGCAAAAAATGTATACACATTTTAAGTATGACGTTTGCTCAAAAGATGGCGTTAACCCAATGAATGCTTAGTGTCACCATGTGACAAGCAGGACAGTCAAAGAAAATGGAGGAAGAACAGCTGAGGAAATGTTATACCACACGTTGCTATCATAATTTTTTATTTTTTATTTTTTTAAGTTGGAGTCTCACTCAGTCACCCAGACTGGAGTAGAGTGGCCACTCCCGGTTACCACAGCCTCAACCTGTTGGGCTCCGGAGATCCTTCCGCCTCAGCCTTCCAAGTATCTGGAACTACAGGTGCGCGCTACCAAGCCCGGCTGATTTTTTGACTTATTGTAGAGATGGGGTCTCGCCAAGTTGCCCAGGTGGGTCTCGAACCTGCGGGCTCAGGCAATCCACTCACCTCAGCCTCCCAAAGTGTGGGATTACAGGCTGAGCTACCGAGCCCGGCTGCTATCATAATTTAATTCAACTCAAAAAGTAGTACATAGATAACATCTCTTAAAATGTGTATATACATTTTTTTGGCATCCCCTGTGTTTGTGCATGCATGTGTGTGTGTGTGTGTATATATATATGAATATACCTAGATATATCATATTGAAATTTCAGAAAATTAAAAATAAAGAAAAATCTTGAATGAAGCTAGAGAAAAAATACTTACCTACAGAGAATCAAATATAAAAATTACATGTAATTTTTCCTCAGAAACCATGCAAACAGGAATTAAGTAGAGCGAAATATTTAAAGTACTGACAGAAAAAAATCACCGATCTAGAATTCTGTACCATGTAAAATTATCCTTCAAAAGTTAAGGAGATATAAATACTTTCTCGACAAACAAAAATTGAGAAAATGTGTTGTCAGAAGACTTACCTTGGAGAAATATTTTAAAAGTTCTTTAGAAGCCAGGCTCAGTGGCTCAGCCTATAATCCCGTGCCTTTGGGAGGCTGAGGTGAGTGGATTGCCTGAGCCCGCGGGTTCAAGACCCGCCTGGGCAGCGAGACCTCATCTCTACAATAAATCAAAAAATCAGCCGGGCGTGGTAGCGCGCGCCTATAATTCCGGCTACTTGGAAGGCTGAGGCGGAAGGATTGCCGGAGCCCAGCGGGTCGAGGCTGCGGGCCGGGAGCGGCCACTGCACTCCAGTCTGGGCGACAGAGTGAGACTCCAACTCAAAAAAATAAAAAATAAAAATAAATAAAAGTTCTTTAGAGAAAAGAAAATAATATAGATCAGAAATTTGGATCTACATAAGGAAAGAATGAACGCTGGATGAATAAGTGAGAGAAAATAAAAATCTTATTTCTGGCCGGGTCCGGTGCCTCAGCCTGTTATCCCAGTACTTTGGGAGGCCAAGGCGAGTGGACTGCCTGAGCCCGTGGGTTCGAGACCCACCTGGGCAATTTGGAAAGACCCTGTCTCTACAATAAATCAAAAATTAGCCAGTGTGGTAGCATGTGCCTGTAGTTCCGGCTACTTGGAAGGCTGAGGTGGAAGGATCATTGGAGGCCAGCAGGTTGAGGCTGCGGTGGCTGGGAGTGTGCCACTGCACTCCAGTCTTAGCGACAGAGTGAGACTCCAACTCAAAAAAAAACACTTATTTCTTTTATTGTTAACTTATCTAAATTCAGGTCAAAATAGTAATAGTAACAATGTATGCTTACATATACATATGCTTATGATTAAACAAAATGCATGATAGCAATGGTAGAAGGGAAAAGAGAGAGGAACTAGGAATATTTTCTTGCTACAATGTACTCTCGTTAATTGTCAAGTAATACTGTTATTTGAAAGTGGACCTGGATTAGCTCTGAATATATATTGCAAACTAGGGCTACCAGTGAGAAAACAAACAAAAAAGAAATATATAGTCATGTACTACTTAATGATGGGGATACCTTCTGAAAAACCACTGTTAGGTGATTTTGTCACTGTGAAAACATGATAAAATGTACAAACCTAGATAGTATAGCCTACTACACATCTAGTCTATATCATACAGCCAATTATTCCTAGGACTTTGTACAGCATATTACTGTATAACAACCACAGGCAATGATAATACAGTGGTAAGTATTTGTGTATCTAAACATAGACGAGGTAATGCATTGTGTTATAGCATTACAAATACTACAACATCACTAGATGATAGGAATTTTTCAACTCCATTATAATCTTATGGGACTACTGTTGTAGTGAATAAAATGGTGTTACACGGTTATGGCTATAACTCATATGCTAAAAAGAAAAGAAAATGGAATCATATAAAATGCTCAATTAAATCCATGAAAGGCAGAAAAAACATAGAAGATAAAAATGGAAACATAAAACAAGGGAAACAAATAGAAAACAGTAACAAATAGGGTAGTATTAATCAAACTACATAAACCATCACTTTAAATGTCAATGGCATACATACACCTGTCAAAAAGGCAGAAAATGTCAGAATAGACAAAAAAACAAGACACAACTGTATGTTATCTGCAAGATACACATTAAATATAAAAGATACATATAGATTTAAAGTAAAAAGATGGAGAAAGATATATTAATACTATGTTAACACTAAAGAAAGTGGGAGTAGCTATATTAATTTCAGACAGAAAAGACTTCAGAGCAGGGAAAGTAATCAGGGATAAAGAGAGTCATTACACAATGATAAAAGGGTAAATACCCTCAAGAAAACATAACAATTTTTAAGATGCATGCACCTAATAGCAGAGTGTCAAAATACACTTGGCAAAAAGTGAGAACTGCAAGGAGAAAAAGACTAATCCACTATTATAGTTGGAGACTTAAAAAAAAATAAGCCCTACAAACTCAAGCCCTCAAACAATTGGTTGAAGATTCAGAGTTTTTCTTCTCCATGGAAATATTTAGTAAAAATTTGTGGAATGCAGTGAAAGTAGTGCTTACAGGGAAATTTATGACATTAAATGTATATATTAAAAAAGAACAAAATACCAAGATCTATAATATAGGCTTATATTTTAGGAAACTAGAAAAAGAAGAGCAAGTTAAGTCCAAAGTAAGCAGAATAAATAACAAAAATTAGAGCAAAAAAAAATCAATGAAATAGGCCACTGCCTTGCTGTTATGGTGTGGCCATGTGCTCTTTGAGCTATGGCTAGACCATGTTTTCTTAAGCTTTGGCCCCCATTCCCTACCTTGGGGAGGTGAATCTCCTCTCTCTCTCTCTTTCTAATTTAGTTTTTAAATAAACTATATTTTCTAATCTAAAAAAAAAAAAATCAATGCAATAGAAAGTAGGAAATCAATAGAGGAAAATCAATAAAACCAAAACTGATTCTTTGAAAAGATTAATAAAATCAATAACCTCTAGCCAGGCTAATTTAAGGAAGAAAAAAAAAAAGAGATAATACAAACCATGAATAACAGACAGGAAAGATGTGCCATCACTACAGATCCCATGGACATTACAAGGATAATAAAGGAGCATTATGAACAATTCTACGCCCACAAATTTGATAACCTAGACAAAATGAACCAATTCCTTAAAAGACACAATCTGCCAAGAATCACATAAGAAACAATCTGTGCTTTGGGAGGCTGAAGTGAGTGGATTGCCTGAGCCTATGGGTTCGAGACCCACCTGGGCAACTTGGCGAGACCTCATCTCTACAATAAATAAAAAATTAGCTGGGCGTGGTAGCGCACGACTGTAGTTCCAGCTACTTGGAAGGCTGAGGCAGAAGGATCGCCGGAGCCCAGCAGGTCGAGGCTGCGGTGGCTGGGAGCGGCCACTGCACTCCAGTCTGGGTGACAGAGTGAGACTCCAACTCAGAAAAAAAAAAAAAAAAAAAAGGAAACAATCTGAGCAGGATATATCTATTAAAGAAATTAAATCAATAATCAATAACCTTCCAAAACAAAAAGCACCAGGCCCAGATGGGCTTATTATAACCTAGATAACCTTGGATACAGCACTGTCTTTTTACATACAATACCAAAGGCATGATCCATGAAATAAATAATTGATAAGCAAGACTTCGTTAAAATTTAAAACTTCTGCCCTATGAAGGACAAAGTCAAAAGAAGTGAAGACAAGCTTCCGACTGAGAGACAGTGTCTGTAAATGCACATTTGATGAGCTCTTAAAACTCAACAATAAGAAAACAAACAACCTGATTAAAAAATGGGTGAAAAACCTGAACAGACTCTTCATCAAAGAAGATATACAAAAGGCAAGTAAGCATGTTTTTAAAAATGCTCAATATCCTATGTTATTAGGGAAGTGCAAATTATTTTCCTTTTTTTTTGTTTGAGTTGGGGTCTCAACTCCTCTGTCTTCCAGGCTGGAGTGCAGTGGCATGATCATGGTTCACTGCAGCCTTGAACTCCTGGGCTCATGCAATCCTTTCACCTCAGTCTCTCCAGTGCCTGGGACTACAAGCATGCGCCAACACGCCCAGCTAATTTTAAAAGTTTTTTGTAGAGATGAGGTTTCACTATGTTGCACAGGCTGGTCTTGAACTACTGGGCTCAAGTAATCCTTCCACCTCAGCATTCCAAAGTGCTGGAATTATAAGCATGAGCTACTGAGCCTAGTAGAAGGAAAAATTAAAACAAGACACTGGCCATTGCCTTACTAGACTCTGGTGTGGCCATGTGCTATTTGAGCTATGGCTGTCACCATGTTTCCTGGCTTTGGCTCCCTCCTCTACCTTAGGGAGGTGAATCTTCTCTTTCTCTCTCTAATTTACTTTCTAAATAAACTCTATTTTCTAATCTAAAACAACAACAACAACAAGATGCCATATGATCAAAATAAAAAACACTGACAATGCCAATGAAGAGAAGACTTGGAACAGCAGAAACCCTCATGCACTGTTGGTGAAAATGCAAAAAGTGCAGTCACTTTGGAAGATAGTTTGTCAGTTTCTTCCAAAACAAAACATTCTTTTACCGTATGATCCAGCAATTATGCTGAAAAATTATGTCCACACAAAAACCCACACATGGATGTCTCTAATAGTTTTATTCATAATTGCCATAAGTTGGAAGAAATTAAGATATGTCCTTTAGTAGGTGAATGGATAAACTCTGGTATATCCAGAGAACAAAATATTATTCAGCAGAAAAAACAAACACCCTATCAGCAAAATATTATTCAGTAGTAAAGCTAGCAAGTCACAAAAAGACATGGAGGAAGCTTAAATGTATTATAAGGCTAAGAAGACAAACTGAAAAGGCTACGTACTATCTGTCCAACTATATGACCTCTTAGAAAGGCAAATCTATGAAGGCAGTAAAAACATTAGTGTTGCCAGGGCTTAGGGAGAAGAGAGGAATGAACAGGCAGAGCACAGAAGATATTCAGGGCAGTGCCGTAAATACACGAGTAATGAGTTGAGTCATAATTCTGAGTTTAAAACACAAATAGACTATACAACTGAACAAAAATATTTTCTTTCTTTACATCCTTATTATATAATATTTCTGCTATCTTTTAAATTAAAAATTTTTTTTTTGCTTTTGAAACTTTTTTGCTGAAACGACACAAACAGCTGGGCTCGGTGGCTCAGCCTGTAATTTCACACTTTGGGAGGCTGAGATGAGTGGATTGCCTGAGCCCGCGGGTTGGGCAAGTTGGCGAGGTCTCATCTCTACAATAATTCAAAAAATTAGCCGGGCATGGTAGCGCACGCCTGTAGATCCAGCTACTCGGAAGGCTGAGGCAGAAGGATCACCTGAGCCCAGCAGGTCGAGGCTGTGGTGGCTGGGAGTGGCCACTGCACTC